ACCATGGTCTGTAATATCATGCATCAATATAGTCTGCACAATTGGTATAAACTGTAATGATAATATTGAGACTGAAACAGGAATTTGCAACGTACAAACACAGTGTGTCACAAAGAGTGTTGTATTTAGTTTTTTATTATATAAATCAGGTTTGTACATCACCAATGCATTGTACCTGTCCACCACAATATGAGGTGCAAGAAAAGATGCAAAGCACTTGTAAACAAAATGTATATAATTTTCACAACTGTGTTTTTTTAATTATTTGTATCATCTTTTTTTCATTCATAATATTCATATTTAAAGTACAAAGTTTCAAAGTTACTTATAATCAAGATAATAGTCACAATTCAAGAAATGCAGGAGAAAGTTAACAAGGTACAGCAGTCCTAACTACTGGAAGGCCTAATTTAAGAGTTTTCCAGCTAATGACAATTTATAAAAAGGAAGGTTCCATAGTCACACTATAAATAAGTCTCAGATCAATCCAAGAAATGACAGGGATATCTCAGCAGCAAGAAGCATTCCAATATTCCTTCAGAAGTAAAAGGTTTGTGCCATTTTAGGAAATGTATGCGAATTAAAAAAAAAAGATGTTTTGTAGCCTGTATGCCCTGGATTTAGTTGTGCCCCCATCAAACTGAAAAGGCAGAGTGTCATAGAATGTAACATAGATGCCCTCTAGCAGCCATTCACATAACTGCAATGACTTGCTGCTTCCTTTTTTCTCTGAAGTTATTATACATTGCCTGGGAAGAATCTGCTCACAGCTTTGGGGCATGTTGTGAAGGGATACTTTATATTTTAAACATGCGGAGATGTTTCAAACGGATAAAGTGGAGGTATTTCCTCTTGCTGCTGTCTTGTCTGAAGTTCTGCTCCTCACTCAGCAGCAGCCACTCCCTGCGCAGCTGCTCCTTCTCTGTTTCCATGTCCTCACGGTCTGCTGCAAGGTCCTGCTTATGCTGCAAGATTTGGGGAGAACAGATAACAGTATCACAGCAAGCTGCTTAAAACTTACCAGCTGATCAATAGACGGGGTCTAATTTGTATGATTTAGTTCAATGTGTAAGTGATACATGGTGGCTTTTCAACATACCAGAATTCTTACTCCTCTTGTTCTTGCACCAACCAAGCTTGCTCTATCTAATGTCTTATCATCATCCTACAATGTATCAATGTGACAGGAATACTGACATCATCTGTGTTGGCCAATGGATGGCCAATGAATATTAAATAAATAATAAACAGGTAATGTCACCAAAGTATACAAGTATTACAACTTCACTTGAGATTTGTGTTTACATTGTTCCTCCAGTCTAACCTGAGCCAGCTGCCTCCACTGGATCTCCAGCTGGTGTTTGTCAGTGGCTATGATGTCCTTCTCCTGAGACAGCAGCTGCCTCTGCTGCTCCAGGTCCTGTTGTAACTGTCTGCTGTCTGTTACCTGGGTCAACAAACATAATTGTGGCTGTCTGTTAGATCTAAGACATCAAATGATTAACGTTACACGTGTCAATCTTTGTAGAAGCTGGATTCTATTGTAGATCTGTATGTCTATACCATTGTTTACTGTCACAAGAAATAAGTTGACAATGTAAAAACCTGTGTTTGTGTGGTTGTTCTAAAGACGTATGAAGCCGTATGAATGTGGTTACAAGAGCAAAGTCTCCATTACCTTCTGCCTGTCCCTGTCCACCTGTTGTTGCAGGGTGGACAGTTTGTCCCTCTCATACTGCTTGTCGTACTCAAATGCTGATCGGTCCTGCTGCAGCCTGTACCACTCCTCCTGTACCTTACTGCCTTGATCAGAAGTTGTCTGCCATGCTGGCTTCAGCTGTTCCTTTCCAAGTGTTTCCATCCTGTCATGTGGGCTGCTTTTCTCTGTGACGACTTTTGAGTCTGCACTATGGTCAGCTCCGGTGACTGCTTTACTGGTCTCCATGTCTGCAGGACTTGGCTGCCACTTTGGTGCAGGTTGTTCTGACTGATTGACAGAAGGATGATCTGCAGTAGCCACCCTTCCTCTGTCCCTTGTAACTCCTGAAACGTGTGACTTGGGGTCAGCACCAAGGTTTGACACTTGCTGTTGGGTGTGGGCATGATGCTGTGTTCCCTGCATGCTCCTCTGCACCACAGTTGTCTCCTGCACCAGTCTGACAGGCAGGTTGTACCTGGCACCGAAGCTGTCCCTCACCACCACCTCCTCTTGTCTCTGCTGGTTGGGTGGCTTGGAGGCCACAGGGGCACTTGTTTTCTTGTGAATGTAATCTGTAAATAGATATGAAGTGACACATGTTTTCAACCAATGGGGATAAAATGTAGTCCTATAAGTAACATACACATACTGTTGTCTTGCAATGAATCTATTTGTCCTAGGCTAGATTTTCAGTCTCTCAACTATTGTACAAAAATGGACATTGGTGTGCAGCAATATTTTGTATGAAAAATAAACGCTACCCCTTTCACTAAGAATAATCAATAAAGAAGGTAAAACTGCTTTTCTACACACCCATCAGTGCAGGTGTCATCCAGGAGATCATCAGGCCAGAGATGGTTCTGATTGGCAGGTGTGGTGCCACGCCCACCTGCTGGTTCTCCACCAGTCCCACATTGAAGGCAACAGGTAGGGCATAGGGGGGGTTATTGATGTCATTCATGGCTGTCTGTCAATGGATGAATCTACAAGAACGATAGAGATAAAGAAAATAAAGGTAAACAAGAGTTGTGGTATCAGGTGTTGTGGTGCAGAATTAATGTGTTATATAGGATGCAACATGCCTCATTCACCGACTTTTCTTTGACTTCATCAAACGAGAAAAAAAGACTGGTTAAAATGACATCATCACTATGGCTTATACGCACTAAACATGCCGATTGCGTTCACATTATGAAAGATATATGCACAGCACCGGTCTGTCAGACAACACAATACCTCACCCATATTCAAAACATTGCCACTGCGTCATCACATACACGTACCAAACAACTAACTAATGCTAAAAAACGCAGGCAGTTTTCAAAATCATATCCAGTTGCTTGAGTAACTGCTTTTTGGCGTAATGCAAAAAAAGTTATAAATTTACTCACAAACCTATCGTAAGTGAAAGGATCATCCTAGATAAAAGAATGAGATTGGAGCAAGGTTGCGCCTCCCCTCTCGGTCTTGAGCTACATTTGGCCTAATAAGAGCTACTTTTTTTGACAGTTCAGCAAGTCCGACTTGTTTGTTTTCTTTATGCCGACCCGGAAGTGATCCTTCAATAGTAACCGGAAGTCTTCCGAAGTACTGATTGTAAACGCAGCAGAACAAAACTAAAATTCATTTTAAAAATGACCAAATTGCAATAAATATCACATATACAATTTTTTTAGATGTATGAAATTCGATTTATAGTATCCATTTTGCAACTATCGTTTCGTGAGTAGAGTTCCCCATCTTTACCTACGCATTTTGCTGCAGTGTGACCGAGTGACACAACAGCGCGCCAAAAACGATTTTCCCGCTCGCGTCGCTCCTAACATTTCTTAGGGAAAAGGAGCAAGGAAGACCCTAAGTTCGTACGTTTCTGTCATATTTTCCAGAATGATAGGATCTACAGACTTGGAGGAAAGTACTGACGGCCTTGGCAGCAGGAATGACGGGGGAATTGGGCAGAAAACAGAGAAGGTATGTGTGGGACTGGGGAGGGCAGATCAGCCTTTATTTAGCTTCTTGGTGATCGCGCAAATTTATGAACTGATTTTTTTGTACCGCTCAGATCCAAATGTATTTGCAAAGTTGATGAAACTGTGAAGACATTTTGGGGGACAGTTTTTGATTGTTATATTAAGATATCTCTGGAACCACGGTTTAATGTTACAGGTACAAATTATTTGGGAAATATAATTGGCCACTGAAAACTATATCGCGATGTTGAAAATATAACGACTGTTGACCTTAAATTATTTTGCTGTTACCATATAACGTTATCGTTAATATTTTTGTTGTTCGTCATTCTCATAATTTATGTTCCTTTAAAAGTCACCTGAATTTGTAAACGTTTGATGCTTGTATACTGCAAGATAAGTCGAAAGCCAGCTTGCACATAAATTAGTTCCTTCTTTGTAGTCCTCATATTCAAATTCATGAGGGGCTGATGGCCGACCAGATGTGGGTAGGGATGACAACAGATATGCAAAAATTAGCTTTGTCTAATTTGGTGCTGGTCAAAACAAACAGGGACTGTCAGACTAACCTGATCGTCTTGAGCTTGAAGCATTACACACTGGATATCACAACTGTCACAAAATTGTCTGAAGTGGTAACGTTACATGTCATAAAACATCATTTCACCAATGACTTGGTTTCTTGAGAGGACATTTGCCATGAAATCACATTTGTGTCGCCTTATATGTTAGTGAACTAGTATGTGTGTTTATTATGCAGCTGATGCCTCCAGATGCCAACATTGGAGATGGTATTGACAAGAACAGCCCTGTTAGTCAGGAGACAGAAGCAGCCAACAGAGGGGAGAATGAAAAAGACAACACTGTTAACAAAACACCCAGTACCAAGATGAGAAGGGTGAATGTCAATTCTGGATCTTAAGCCTCTTAGATTGTTATTTTGTCATTTCTACTGAAACTCTCACAGACTCTGATAAGAATACATGTATTACCTATATAGTATAATGTGATGGTCACAATACCTTTAGCTAAGTACTTTGTACTGGGAGCTTGAGGGTGTACAGCAAAAAATCAAAATTATTTTGTATTTATTATTACTCAGGCAGCTTTAGATTGCTGTTTCTTCCATCCAAAACACACATTAGTGTATGTTAGAAGTCCTATCTTCAGTGTTGACTAATGTGTGTTTTATACTTCATAGAAACAACCACTAGATGTTGTAATGTACACTGTATAAGCTGTTATCTTAAGTTTGTTACTAACACGGTTGTTTCCGTTCTTGAATAGCTTGTCCTGGACTCATCATCTGATGAGGAGGACATGGTTATATCTAGAAAACAGCTACAGAAAACGGATGACTCGGATGGAGAAGATGTCAACCTCTCCATCAGGAAGACACCAAAAACCCGCAGAAAGGCCATCCTGGAAGATTCCGATGAGGAGGATTGCTCCCCTCCAACAGGGGAGGGTTCTACAGATCAGCATCCAGCAGCAGGAGGAGGGAACTCAGACAGTTCTGATGGAGAAGACCTGGAGACCAACAGAAGAGTCAAGAAATCAAGTGGCAAAAAGAAAAGGGTAAGACTAAGAGTGGAGAATGACACCATTATTAATAGTTGCACCAGAGAGCGTGTGTAAAAATATTAGAAGGCTATGCCATACATGTGTACATGTGTATATGGCCTCTTGGTTGGGATTGATGAAGCTCCTCCTTTGTATGGGCATTGGATTTGCATCATCACTGACTGTGGAAATGTGCCTTTTGTAGATTGTCATGGAAGACTCCTCTGATGAAGATGAGGGTCTGGGGAGTTTACCAAGCAGCAAGATCAAGAAAAATGACAAACCTACATCTGGCAAAATGGTGAGTCAGTTATGAATACACCATGGATGTCCAAATTACAACCATGAATTGTTAAGAAGGTCTAGCTCGCAGCTGTATGTCTGATTGTGTAACGTTCATGTAGGTCACCCTGTTTCATGTTACTTTGCAAGAGTTGAATATTCAGTACATACATAAACATCAAGGTAATAAATACAAAGTAACTGATTCGTGCTTACCTATTTTCCGTTATTTTGCCTGTTAGAACATCCTCGCTGACTCTGATGATGATGAAGATATGCTTGAAGAAAGATCACCAAAAGTCAAGGAACAGAAAGATCAGAATAAAGACAAGGCAGAAGAGAAAACATCCAAAGATGGGAAGAAGAAAAGGGTAGGAGACTTATTTACTATTGATAATATCATTATTGTTGAATAGATTGAGTGCTCTGTGATGTTGGAGTAATGAAGAGACATATCGCTGTCATCAAGTAAAGTAGGGGCATTGTCATTGATAGCTTTAAATAATGCCTAGAGTTAGATGTTCAAGGGTTAGGTGTAACAAGTCGATCGGTGTAATGTAGCCACCGTGCGGCGTTCCTGCGGGTATACAGATACAGATATCCTTTTGGTTACATGTAGTTATCCCACTTTCAAGCTCGTTCTGACCTCATCTCCCCTGAAGTTTTACTGATATCTTGTCTATTGTCTCCTCTCCAGCCTGTGCTGGATTCATCCTCAGATGAGGAGGCAGAGATTCACCTGAACAAGTTGAACTCTGACCTCTTTGATGATGAACAAAATGACGACAGTGACCGGAGTGAGGGAAGGGACATGGAGGGAGAAGAAGAGGAAGAGGACAGGCCTAAGAAAACAGCAAAGAGCAAAGGAAGAAAGAAACAGGAGAAAGTAAGGGTATCAGCATATTTGTACTCTGTGTGAGTTTTGTTGTGAGCAGTTTGGCTATGAATTATATCCTCTGCTACATATTGTTTGTATTTTATTAAGAGGGACAAGTTGTCTTCCACAAGTGATGTATCAATGTTTGACCCATACCCTGTTCCTCCAGCCTCCCAGGCCCAAGAGGCTGAGTAAAGCTGAACAACATCTGATGCACAGTGAAACACAACGGATGACCAGAGGTGGGTACAGGAGCAATTACAATTTCAACCAATGTTGTAACACGGTAGAAATGTAGGCTTTTTATATAGAGATATTTGCTTTTTAAGAAATGAGGTAGTATGTACTATTATAAAGGACATGTGTTACTTCCTTACTATTACTAAAGCCCATTGTTTTACAGAGTCAGAGCTGAAACTACCTTACCTCAAGCCACCTCCGAAGACAATAGACGACTTCTTCAAGCCCAGACCTAAGCCAGGGCCACTCAAAGCTGCTGGGGGAATCGCAAGGTGTTTATTTTAACTTGATAGTGATAAAAGGATGTTCACAGTTTTGCAGAATGAAAACAATGAAGGTAGATATTGTATCTTTTGCAATAAGCTCAGACCATCCCCAAGTCATTGAGGTTCAGAATCATTTAGTTTCATGTCACTGAAAGTTGTCATCCCTGATAGCAGTAATATTATCATCATACTACTAATATCATCACCTGATTGTCTGTAATCTTGTGGCTTAGTGTCTCGGTGCCAAAGTAAATGAATCTACATTTTCAAGTTTACTGGATCATTTGATGTTTACCCGGTATGTGTTTTGAATATGCCTACTGTGTTGTTCCAGCTTCCTTAGAAGACCTGCTGCCCAACAGTTGGCTGTCAGGAAAACAACACTCCAGCCCACAAGACTAGCTGAGAAACCACCCAGCAGTTCACAAGTTCCTTCAAATGCCAACCCAGCAGCCCCTCCACAAGACACTAAAGCAGATGTTTTCACACATGATGAGCTTGATGAGCTGCCTGACATTGTAGGTATCAGTGCAGATAAAGAGGATAAGGATCTTCCTCAAGTTTCAGCATCCCTGACTGAAATAGGGGATTCAGGTCTAATGGCTGTAAATACAAACATATCAGAGAATGATGTAGAAATGCAGGAGAATGCTGAAACCACTCAGGGAACACCAGAAGGTGTGACTCAGGACTCTGGTGTGGAGACAGATGCTGCTATGTCCACACAGACTGTTGCCCCCCTCCCCACTGACATCTTGGACGAAGTCACGTCTCCCCAACCTGACATGCCACAGACAACCTCAGCTGAGCAGTCTGAACCTGCAGTAGAGGAACAGGAAAAAGGAGACGTCAAACTGATGGTGCCGCCACCTTGCCTCAGTGGAGGTCCTGACTCCTTTATTGATTTGGAAGATTCTGGTGTGAGCGGCTCTGACAAGCCCAAGAAGAAAGGTGGTATGGTGGACCTGCTGGACAGGTTCATGAAGCACTCCCAGGCCAGCAAGAAACGAGCCAAGAAACACCAACAACACATCAGGTAGGACTAGCACTCCTTTTAGCAAGAGTAGAATGACGTTAGATTGTATTAGACTGTTAGATTTTATTAAATGATAGAGCAGACTAACTTAGTGTTTGCTGCATCATGTACTGATGTTGGTTCTTGTTTCTCCAGTATCGTGAAGAAGGAGATGACTGCTGAGGGGAAGGAGGAACTGAAGCAGGAGACCCTAACTGTCACTGTGGAGGAAGGGGAAGAGCCTGTTAAAGAAGTAACACCTGGTCAGTGTTTGCCAATAGTCACTCTGTTCCTATCCTAGGTCAAAATACTTTATTTCTGTTTTCTCTATGGTAAGTTTGTAGTAGTTCATAAAACTTGATAATAATTGATGTAAAGGACCAGTTCCATGATAGATTTCAGCACTATAGGATGGCTGAAGTCTAATAATTGAAACAAACTGAGTTTGAAGTCTGTCTGTTGTGTAGGTGCTCGGCTGTCGAGGCTGAAGGAGAAGCTGCAGGCCAAGATGCGTGAGCGGCGGGCACAGGAGAGGGAGAAACGACAGCAGATGTACCAGCTGGATAACGAGGAGGGGTTTGGGGAGGAGGAGGAGGAAGAGGAGCTGACTGATGAGGAGGACACAGACGACGAAGAGCAAGATGAAGATGGGGAGATGGATCGAGGACAGGTCAGTCTAGAGTTTTCGGGATGTTTGTATGATCATTGCAAGGGAGCACTTTTTCATACAATTCTACATAGATTGTGATGGTTTCATTTGAATTGTTATGAACTTCTTAACCTGTAATCAAACTGCTTGGTCAGTGAAAGAACAAACTGGTATCTTTACCGTCCATATCTGCAGGGCATTTTAGATCTGGAGGCAGAAGAAGATGGAGATGAAGAGGAAGAGGATGCTGACACTATCCTTACAGACGAGCTTCCAGCCACTACCAACCTCAAACCCGTCAAACTGTGCCCAGGTGACAGCGAGACGGACAGCTCCAACGTTGATTTCAAAACACCGGCAAAGTTTGCGCGCCCTCCCCATCCTTTCTCTGCCGGGTCTGATAAAACCATGGACTTGTTCGACTCCACGAGCGAGAGCAACTTGACCACGCCTGGAAACAGTAACCACAGCATCAAGTCGAAGCCAGATGGAACTAAAGGGTTAGAAGTTACACCAACAGGTCAGTCCAAGCCAGGGAGAGGCTTCTTCAGCTTTAGTGCCATTAAACAGAAGAAAGGTCTCATCCGACATGAATCCCAGGGTTTCCCATTTGATGACAGTGATCTGTCGCAGGATGGTATTATAAAGGACTCTAAAGGACAAGCAGACATCAGCAGTGTAGACCTCAACACAAGTATGGACCTCGGGGCTTCTATCCCCTCACACCAGCCAGAGAAAAAAATTGGGCTAAGCCGTGAGGACACAGCTCCTGATCTGTTCGCACCATTCTCCAGGTTCAAGTCTGGAGAAGAGCCAGATTCAGGGCAAAAGGTTTGTTTTTTTATTACTCTTGTATTATTTTTTTTGTTTGGCTACAGAAACACCTGTTCTTTTATGCAAAGATTAGTTTTATTATTTACTTGAATAGGGTCTATTTGATTTGTGTTTGTTGCAGTTCCTGTTGTATTGATCGTTTGTACTTTATGTATGAAATAAAGGAGCAATTCCCTTTCCAGAGCTCAATCAAGCTGTCTGAGTTGACCCTGCCCATTGAGGACTCCCAGGTTTGTTGATGTGTTTCTTTCACCTCTTCAGGATTTGCAGATGACTCTCCACTGAAGAAGCTTGTAATGCATGCAGATCAGCTTTATGAATGTGATGCAGTCTATCATGAGGTCAAACAAGGTTAAGTAAAAAAAGGACAAAAGCAGTGAACTCAAAATTGTGACTTGTGACTAACCTTCTTTGCTGAGCTATAGCCTGTAGCCTGTAGAAGACTTAGCCTAAAGATAAGAATGATATCTGTATTATACAGGACCTGTACCGCTCCTCCCAGTCCCCACCACCGGGACAGAGGCTACTCAGCACACAGAGTTTCCACTTCTCTCTGGAGAGTGACTCTCAACAGAGCCAGCTGCTCGACTCAGATGGGTGAGTACTGAGTACCTCACTGTTGTAGAGATCCTGTGAAGACTATAACCTATGATATCCAAGGCCTTAAAACGCATACAAGGTTACTGTCAAGAAGCATTATTTGTAATGACAACACATAAAGTTCTCTAGTTGTATCTTTATGGATGATAAGAGATATAACAGTCATGAACCCACCAAGTCAATTAACTGTTTGAGCTTGCCAGCAGTGCATTCAAATAGGTGTCTGCTACCATTTGCTGAAGCATGAGATTTTCCTTTGTAGGTTTCTAAAGGCAGTCGATGAGAAAAGGCCCCCTAAGCGTCAGTTACTGCTGTCTGATGACAATGCCATGGACACCAACATGGAGGAGTTGTTGGATCTGTGCTCAGGGAAGTTTACAGGAAGTAAGTTTCTGTCACTTCAATATTTTGGAAACTTAAACAGAACAGGGATATATAAAATGCATTGTCCAAAGAAAGAAGTTGGCATAAAGGGACTTTTGTTATTCTCTCTATGACTCCCTAAAGCTTAGGTCACATTTGAAACGGCGCCCGTTCGGCATGTCCTCGGTGTAGACGCCGGCCTGTGTCATGACGCCGAGCGTGCGCCGACTGTCAGGGTCACAATTAAACGTTCCTTTACGGCTCCCTGTCGGGGCCTGGTTGTGCTCCGGCCGGCATTGAGGCGTCTTCTAATTAATATTCATAAACTTTTGGTCCCCTTGGCGGCCGGTTTCTGTCAGGGACCCGTCTGGTGCCCGGTCAGTCTCCCGTCTTAACCCGTGCGGCGTGTGGTAGGGTGCCGACCGGTTCTTACAGTTCGGCCAAGCAGCTGTCAGGTCCCTGGCGGGGTCTAGGGGGGATCCTCTCAAAAACCTTTTAGACTTAGTTGGTTTCCACGAATTGACATTTTGGGCCAAGGTAACAAGGTTTCTGTAGAAATTCTTTTCCTGTGTATTGATATGTAAATTGTATAAATTTCTGTGAAATCGTTATCCTGGCAGGATTCCAGTTAGTTACTGAGACTATGTTTGTTGCTCAAGGAATCTGTAGTATTGTGAGGGGGACTGTCATGTTTGCCTTCCCTAGGGCTGTGCTCCTCAGTGTATTACTGCTCGCAGTGTTACCAAAACCAGTTGTACTTCCTGAATGGGAAAAGTCTACTAGTAATGTATATGTACAAACAGGAACATGGCTCACACAAAATCTCAACCCCGTTAAAACTAATCCTGGGTTGTATGGTCTCGGATTCTTTGCTAGATCAGCTACGTTTACAATTAAACCTGACAAGACTCTGAACTTATTAGCATGTGTGACGCTATTGCTGGCTGGTGACGTTTCACCTAACCCGGGTCCGGTTGAGGAGGGACTTCCGTACTGGAGAAAGGGGATAGTGTATGCCTTTTACAACGTAGTCTCCCTTCCACGACATCTTGATGAAATCCAGCAGCTACTCCTACAAAATGCGCGGATACATGTACTGGGTCTTAATGAAACCCGTTTAACTGATACTATCCCAGACTCAGTAGTGGCAGTGAATGGCTACACTCTGTACAGAAGGGACAGATCCAGACAAGGTGGCGGAGTGGGGGTTTATGTGAGACAGACCATCCCGTCTCAACGTCGGTCTGATCTCGAGCGGGACGACCTGGAGGTTTGCTGTGTTGAGGTAAAACCGGAGAAGGCGAGAAAGACTATCCTCGCGTGCGTGTACCGACCACCGAACTCCGGTTCTGAATGGAGAGACTCTGCCGAGTCACTCGTCCGCACTCTCAGCCAAACCGCAGAAGAT